GAGCTGCTGCTGCGCCTCCTGCCCCTTGCACCGTGCACCATTGAGGGAGCCGGATGCGTGCGCAGGGTGCCCCATCCCTGGCGCTTGGAGCAAGCTGCTCTAGTGGAAGGTGTCCCTGCCCGTGGCAGGGGTGGGAGCTCTAAGGTCCCTTCAACCCCAACCACTACAGGGTTCAATGAGCATCCCCGAATATTCCAGATGAAGAACCAGGCAGTTGGGAGCCTGTTGCTCAAACACCGTGCGGGGACCGCTCTCCCCTGCAGGACGCCAATGGGCTGCAAGGAGCTGGATCCCCCCCAGCAGCAAACATCTCTGGGGACTTTATGAAGGACAAAATACACAATTAAACACTTCAGCCCTCTTCCACCTACGCCACAGGGCAGCTATTGCTGCTATGGCACATGTGGCTTACAACTAGGAGTAAACTGAGACCCAAGAGAGGGTACTGGCTTTGTCACAGTGCAACCCTGGTACAGAGCATTCATGGCTGCATTGAAGCTGCTTTGGGAACAGGGAACGGGACAGCTCAGAGACAGCCTGCCCGGGGCCGTGCTGAGGGCTCTCCAGTGACCACGCTGTGGTTACAGTGGCTACCGGTGCCTCAACGAGTGGGTTTAAAGCCAGCCCAGGCAGTCACACCTCCAGAGAGCATCGCACACAGAGCATGTGGGGTCAGCTCATGGGGCCCTCGAGGACACAGACACCACGTTCCCAAGCCCAGCATCCCCTGTGTGGTCTCCTGAAGGTGCGTGGTCCCACACATGGAACCCCCCAGGCACTGCTGTGGCTCACAGGGATGTGAGCGAGGTGCCCGAGCACCCACAAACCATCCCTGCCCTTCCAGATGCAGCATGGAGGCCGCATCCTGCTCCTGCAGCACCTGAACCACCCCAGGGGGAAGCGTCTTTTAACGTTTAATGCAGAAAGGGAGTTTCCAAGTGAAAGAGAACCCCAAAGTCCCTTGTGAACCTCTTCCAGAGTGACTGAGTCCATGAGGTTCCTGCAAACCAGTCAAGGCAGTCCCTGTCAGCAGTGCTCTGCAGGGTCCTGAGCGCTGGGAAAGGGAATTTGGGAGTTCAGGACTAAAGCAACTTGAATCCTCAAAGGTAGCAGAGGTGATGGCTGCCGCTGGCATCCCTTTGGATACAGGCTTCCATTTGCCGGCATCCCTTTGGATATAGGCTTCCATTTGCCGGCATCCCTTTGGATACAGGCTTCCATTTGCCAGCATCCCTTTGGATACAGGCTTCCATTTGCCGGCATCCCTTTGGATACAGGCTTCCATTTGCCGGCATCCCTTTGGACACAGGCTTCCATTTGCCAGCACCCCTTTGGATACAGGCTTCCATTTGCCGGCATCCCTTTGGATACAGGCTTCCATTTGCTGGCATCCCTTTGGATACAGGCTTCCATCGTGGGAGGAATGCTTCTGGCAGGGCCACAGTGTGCAATGCTGCTGCAATAGGAGCTGTGTGAGGTCTCCTGTCCTCACTGGGACTCTGCAGGCAACCTGTAGCTCCCCAAGGGATTCCTTGGAGGCTGTGCTCGAGGAAGGCCTCGGGCCCCATGGAGCTGCAGAGGAGCAGACCCGCAGGCTGCCTGGGAGCAGTCCCCAGCAGCTTTCCTCTCTGGTGTTCCTTATGGCACCAGGGGAGCCTCGCACCCCGCGACGGGAAACCAAGCGTGAGTGGCAGAGGTGACGGTGTTCTGCCCAACACATCGATCCCAGGGAGGAGTCGTGCTCAAGCCACCTCTGGGGTTTGGAGGTGGCAGCGATTTGAGGCCAGGTTCTGTCAAGAGCCCCATTTTGCAGCCCCGTGGTCAAAGGGATTTTCTGTGCTTCACCCCGGGCAGCAGGCGCAGAATTCCTCTGCTCTGCAAGCGCCTGAACGCAGCCTCCCAGAGCAGAGCCAGGCCTCACGGCTGACAAACAGCCCCGGCCGCAGCAACGCGGGGGGATGCTGCTCGGGAAGCGCAGCCCGCAGCTCCCCGCGCTCGCCGCCACTCACCCCGGGTCCCAGCTGCAGCCCGTGAGCGCCGGCAGGGACGGGAGAGCCTCGGCTCGGGGGGCTCCGGGGGTCCCCGCTCCCTCGGGCGGGATGCTCGGGGCAGAGCCCCACGCGGGGACACCGGGAGGCTCCGCTCCCGCATCGGAACCGGAGCCGGGACCGCAGCCGCGGCTGCCGGAGGGGCGGGGCCAGCGCCGAGGCCACGCCCCCCAGTGAACCCTAGAGCACGCCCCTCGCCGCCGCGGTGGTGGCGCCACCCAGCGGCGCACACACGCACACACACACAATCACAGACCCATAGGGGAGCCAATTCCCATTTAAAGACCTTTTAATGCCTTTTCCCATACAAATCCCGGCCATCCCGGCTCCTCCCGCACTGGAGACAAAATATTTCCTCTACCGAATAAATAAAACGCGACAGACAGGCGGTGATCCCGCACATCCATGCACACGTCCCTCCCCAAGGCAGGCACTCACAACAGCCTTGCGTTCAAACGGCACCCTCCATCCTTCCTCCTGCTCCCCAGCAAACAATCACAACCCACGTCTCGCACAAGGAGAGGCTCTGCATGATTCACTGGGAGAAGAAAGCAGAATCACAGGCTCACAGAAAAGTCTGGGTTGGAAGGGGCCTTCAAAGCTCAGCCAGTTCCAACCCCCTGCAATGAGCAGGAGCATCTTTGACTGCATCAGTTGCCCAGAACTACATCCAGCCTGGCCTCCCGTATCTCAAGTGCATTCAACCACCTCTCTGGGCAACCTGGTGCACCTACTACCTGAAATGAGAAGCTCATGAGGAGCTTGTACCTGTACCCACAAGTGGTGGAGCAGGATCAAACCCCAGAGAGGTTCCATCAGTAACAGCACACAAGGGATGTGCTCACCTGCACTAGGACATGCCCAAGTCCCCAGCTGGTCCCTGTGTGATACATGTGTCCTCAGCAGAAACCAGGAAGGACAAACCTAAGTCTCTCAATAGACACTCTGGAGCTGCTGCTTTATCACTTAGGGATCTGTAATGAAACACCCAAGGCCTTTATCATCAAACCCATGCACCTGTAGCTTGGGGTGGAAGTTTTTAGGCACTTAAACAAATGGCTCAAAAAGCTCTTTAGCATCGTAGCAGCCTCCATGTGCTCTGTTCCCCAGTTTTACACAATGTGCAGCACTCAGGTAGGGACCTGCTGGGAAACTCCTCCCTCTGAGGTCTCTGATCACCAGGAGCATTTGTCCAGCCCACCTTTGGCATTAGCATTTTGCCTTAAAGACTTATTCCTGCAGTGGCCGGTGACCAGGGGAGGAAGGACAGACAAAACACTCTTTCTGTAGGTGGTTAAGCAGCTGCCAAAGCCATCCCCAAGAGCTGCAGTGCAGCACACAGACCTTGTTGTGGGGAAGGGAGGCATATAATTAGACAAGAAATAAACCCAAACCAGTGACCCTTTACGGGAAAGAAGTGCTTAAAAAGCCTGGGAGAAGCCCTGGCAGGACCATCTGCAGACAGCAGGGGAGTAGCTCTGCTTCCACGCCAGGGAGGAAGGCAAATATAGCAACACTTTGCCCTTCAGCAGGACCTCACAAGTGCCCCTCGCTGCCCACACAACAGCAGTCACAGACACGGGGTTTGGAGCAGCCAAAGGTCTACAGCAGTTAAGGGCTGTTGAGCTTCCCCTGCACGCTCACAGCCTCCAACAGACCAGGGGATGCTTTTCCTCTGCTGCAGAGGGACTTGTGACAAGGGCATGAAGGGAGCCTTGGGAATGGCTTTAACCTGCCCAGGGGAGGCTGAGCTGAGCTCTTAGGCAGAAGCTCTTCCCTGTGAGGGTGCTGAGGCGCTGGCACAGGGTGCCCAGAGAAGCTGTGGCTGCCCCATCCCTGGCAGTGCTCAAGGCCAGGTTGGACACAGGGGCTTGGAGCAAGCTGCTCCAGTGGAAGGGGTCCCTGCCCGTGGCAGGGGTTGGAGCTGGAGGAGTTTTAAGGTCCCTTCAGCACAAACCACTTGGTGATTGTGAGCTGAGTTGGGATCATTTCAAAGTCCAAGTGCTGCCTATGGGCCGGGCCCTTGACTCCTGTTGGGGTGTGGGTGGTCTCTGAGTGGCTGAGCCACTGTGCTGGGGACCTGCTGCAGCAGTGACTGCTGCCAAACGCAACTGTCTGACAGCAGAAAACCCCTGCAGCTCCCTCAGCAGAGCTCTTCCTGCCCCCTCTCACTGTCCCAGGGCTGGAAACCCTCCAGGGCAGCATCCTTGAGGGGCCAGGTCCAGATCTGTTAAGGGAGAGCAGGCAGGAGCTGTGAGCACTGGGGGCAGAGTGACTGAGGAAAGCTAAACAGAACCATTAAAGCAAAGAAATGAAGAGGCCCTTTCCCTCTGCTGCCAGCTGGTACATAGGTAAAAGATAAGTCACCTTTTGGAACTGCTCCTAATGAAACTTTACCTTGTTTTTCTGAAACAAGACAGTCACTTTTCCCCTGATGGTTTCTCGCAGGCAGAGCAGAGCAGAGGTGGGATGGAAGCGTGTGTGTACACATGGCCATACCTTAGCCACCCATCCTACGTTTTTGCCCAAGGAAATCTCCTCCCAGTGTCCTATTTGCAGAAGTATTGCTCAAGAGGTTGAGTGGAACTGCAAGAAGCTGGGCAGGAGGGTACAGCTCCAACCGGAGAACAGGAGAGCGAAAGACTCCTTCCCTCCCCTCTCCACTAGAAAATGACCCGTTATTAAAGGAAAAATCCATTTCCTTTCTCCCCCCCCGACAACCCCTTTGGTGCTGGCTGTGCAGTGCTGTCTTTCGATGAAGGCACCTTTGGAGAGCGCTGATGGCCCAAAGCACAAGGCCCCAGTGCCTCCTATTTACACCTGAGATTAGCGCTGCTGCATCTCCCCTGCCCTCAGCCCCTGAACTACCCCTGGGGCTACAGCAGCAGCGTGGGGAGAGCAGGAGCGACGTGGCGCTTGGCACCACTGGCCTCGTGAGCACACGCACGCTCATCACACCGCGTACCTGGCCACGTCGCTCTTGTCAAAGACAACTTTGGTCGCAAAGTAAATGGCTACGAGGCCGAAAGCAGCCGCTGAGGCCATGTAGGCCGTCACCGACTGTGTAAACTGGACGATGGAGCCCATGAGGAGGGAGGGGACGACCTGAGAGAGGAGGAAGGCGCTGTCCAGGATAGCCAGGTCCAGGCAGATCCCTCGGCCGGGGGCCACCGAGTCCGCTTCTCCCACCATCATCCTGAGGGAGACGTCGCAGGAGGAGCTGACGCACAGAGCCGAGCCGGCAGCCGGGGAGGAGGAGGAGGAGGAGAAGAGGCTCCCGGCGTGTCCGTTCTGGTAAGGCAGCTTCTGGCCTTTGGAGAAGGATTTCTTGTCCAAGCGACCTGCAGCTTCCTCCTCTTTGCTCCTGTACCTGTGCAGGAACACCTAGGGAAGGGAGGAGGCGCGTGAGGAGGGGCGGCCGGAGCCCAGCAGGCGAGGGGGGACCCCGCTCTTGGCCGTGCCTCGTGTGTGCTGCGTCAGGCTCCCAGGGTGCGAGAGCCCGCAGCGGGTCTGAGGCAGGATCCCCAGGTGAGAAGGGCTCCAGGAGCCACCCTCATGGTCCCCAGGCGCCAGCCCGGCTCTCCCCGCCTGCCGCAGGGCACGAAGCAGCCCTGGCTCACCGGGGGATGCGGCCAAGTGGGGCCTTGGTTGCGCTGGAGCCCAAAGGCAGCCCCGGTTCTGCCTGGGGACACCGCACTGAGCTTCCTCGGGTCACCTTCCTCTTGTCACCTCCTCAGCGGGTGGCAACGGGAGCCGGGCACTGGGCACAGCTCATCCCATCCTGAACCAGCTCATCCCACCCTGAACCAGCTCATCCCATCCTGAACCAGCTCATCCCATCCTGAACCAGCTCATCCCATCCTGAACCAGCTCATCCCATCCTGAACCAGCTCATCCCATCCTGAACCAGCTCATCCCATCCTAACCAGCTCATCCCATCCTGAACCAGCTCATCCCATCCTGCACCAGCTCATCCCATCCTGAACCAGCTCATCCCATCCTAACCAGCTCAGCTCATCCTGAACCAGCTCATCCCATCCTGAACCAGCTCATCCCACCCTGAACCAGCTCATCCCATCCTAACCAGCTCATCCCATCCTAACCAGCTCATCCCATCCTGAACCAGCTCATCCCATCCTGCACCAGCTCATCCCATCCTGCACCACCTCATCCCATCCTAACCAGCTCATCCCATCCTGAACCAGCTCATCCCATCCTGAACCAGCTCATCCCATCCTGAACCAGCTCATCCCATCCTAACCAGCTCATCCCATCCTGAACCAGCTCATCCCATCCTGAACCAGCTCATCCCATCCTGAACCAGCTCATCCCATCCTGAACCAGCTCATCCCATCCTAACCAGCTCATCCCATCCTGAACCAGCTCATCCCATCCTAACCAGCTCATCCCATCCTGAACCAGCTCATCCCATCCTGAACCAGCTCATCCCATCCTAACCAGCTCATCCCATCCTGAACCAGCTCATCCCATCCTAACCAGCTCATCCCATCCTGAACCAGCTCATCCCATCCTGAACCAGCTCATCCCATCCTAACCAGCTCATCCCATCCTGAACCAGCTCATCCCATCCTAACCAGCTCATCCCATCCTGAACCAGCTCATCCCATCCTGAACAGCTCATCCCATCTGAACCAGCTCATCCCATCCTGAACCAGCTCATCCCACCCTGAACCAGCTCATCCCATCCTGAACCAGCTCATCCCATCCTGAACCAGCTCATCCCACCCTGAACCAGCTCATCCCATCCTGCACCAGCTCATCCCATCCTGCACCAGCTCATCCCATCCTGAACCAGCTCATCCCATCCTGAACCAGCTCATCCCATCCTGAACCAGCTCATCCCATCCTGAACCAGCTCATCCCACCCTGAACCAGCTCACCCCACTCTGAACCAGCTCATCCCATCTGAACCAGCTCATCCCATCCTGAACCAGCTCATCCCATCTGAACCAGCTCATCCCATCCTGAACCAGCTCATCCCATCCTGAACCAGCTCATCCCACCCTGAACCAGCTCATCCCATCCTGCACCAGCTCATCCCATCCTGAACCAGCTCATCCCATCCTGAACCAGCTCATCCTGCAGGACAGGAGCCAAGGGCCAGTGCCCTCCCTGGGTGCACCCCAGAGCCGGAGAGGCCACTCCAGTGTGTTCAGACCTTCACACCAACAAAACGGCTCTCACGTGTGGCCAGGGCAGCCGGTGCAGGGAACCCGGGCCGTTCTGCATGAGCACCGGTCTGCACGGGGCAGAGCAGGTAAGCAAGGCCACGGAAGCCGCTCTCCACGCGGGGAGGATGAGCTAACAAAGCCAAAGGGGGACATGAGCTGCGAGGGGGAACGGCAGCTGGGGCACCCCAGCCCTGCCCCGGGGCGTCAGGCTCTGCTCGTGCTGCCCCAGGCCACGGCTGCGGACCCGCAGCACAAACAGCTTCAGATCCGATCACGGAACAGAAACCAGATGAGAACCTCACCACAGAGCAATCACCCTCCCCAGGCATCACCCGGGCTCTGCTCGGCTGCGCGCTGTACCCTTCAGCTCTCGAATTCACGACTTTTCGCTCCAGTGTGTCCATCCAGGACCGGCACTGATCTTCCGTGGAGCTGAAAACCCTCCCACATGCCTGCTGTTGCCATCACACTTCAAAGCAGCTCCAAACCCAGCACAGAAAGGGCATTGTGTGAGCCAAAGGAGGATGTCCCCCACGGCTCCAGCCCTTCCTATGCGACACTGATGTTCTCAAAAGCCTGCTCAGCTGCCCTCAAGGCTCAGGCCATGTTTTCTGGGTTTCTGTAATGATCCAGGCTGGGACTTCAGAGATACATGTTCTGGCAGGGGGGTGAATAGCCAGTGTGGAGAATTAACCTAAATCCAGAGCAAGTGACTTAAATCCATACTCACAGGAATGAGCTTAGTGGAAACTTCTGCTTTAAAATCACCCCTTGCAGCAGGGTACGAGCACAGGAGGCACAGGAGCCTCAATCAACAGCTTCATCTCAGGGAATCATGGAATGGGTTGGGTTGGAAAGGACCCATGGAAAGGATCATGCAGTTCCACCCCTTTGCCATGGGCAGGGGCACCCCACATGAGACCGTGTCCAACCTGGCCTTGAACACTGCCAGGGATGGACATTTACCATGTCTCTGGGGGACCCATTCCAGTGCCTCAGCACCCTCAAGGAAGAACTTTCTCTCCAACCTGAACTTTCCCTGTTTCAGTCTGAACCCATCACCCCTTGTCCTGTCACTACAGTCCCTGATGAAGAGTCCCTCCCCAGCATCCCTGTAGCCCCTTTCAGGCACTGGGAGCTGCTCTGAGGTCTCCACGCAGCTTCTCTTCTCCAGGCTGGACACCCCAATGTTCTCAGCCTGGCTCCATATGGGAGCTGCTCCCGCCCCTGCTCATCCTCGTGGCCTCCTCTGGCCTTGCTCCATGTCCGTTTTATGTGGGGGACACCAGAAGTGCCACAGTGCTGCAAGTGGGGACTCAGGAGTCTCCCCCGGAGCTGCTGGGCAGCGGTGGGAGCGAGGAGCGCAGCGGTGCCCAACCTCCTGCACAAGGGGGGAACGCCACCAGGCGCCTCCAGCAGGGCTTCAGTGCCTCCTCCTGCCCTGGATGAGGCTCAGTGGCCACGCTAAGGAGAGGCCATGCAGGAGAAGAGTGACTTACGCAGGCTGTGCAGGGCACGGAGCTCCAGCGGAGGTGGCCCTGAGGCTGCCGCCAGCGGTCCCGCACTGGGGGAGCAGCAGCAGCCACTGTGGGTGCCCCCTTCTGCTGCTTCACTTCAGGAGCAGGGGTGAAAGATGGGAGAAAACAAAGTAAAAAAGGGGAGGGAAGAGAGGGAGCAGGGAGGAGGGAATGAGGGGAGGCAAGCAGGAGGGAGCAGAGGTTTGAACAGGGAGAGAAAAGAGGAGGACAGAAATGGGGCAGATGGGGAATCCAAGGGCACTTTAGGATCTACCTCTCTGGGGTCTCCCTGCAGCCTGCTGCAAAGTGCTCGGGGAAGGAAGGAGGAACTTCCAAGGCAGGGCAAAAGAAACCAAACCCAGCTATACCCCACGTCTCGCTGCACTCGGTGTCCGAAGTTTCACCCCCTTTATTTCTCTTGGAGCGAGGGGAATAGGAAGAACCTCAGTTTTCACGGTACTGATCTTCGTGCTAGGGACAACAGCTGCAAAGCAGGGCCTCAAAGGGAGAAACCCGAGGATTTTAGCACATCTCGGAGCTGCAGATGTGACTTGGCTGCAGAATGCACACAGCTGGAGCTAACCTGCACCACTTTCCCTAACAGCATGCAGGACACAGGAACACAAGACATCCCTTTTGATACACCAACCCCAGCTCACTTCTTCCATCTTGCCCACTCCCCGCTTTTTAAACCTGCACAATGCCTGCTGTGAGCAGGGGATGCCTAAGGAAGGAGATGCCAAACTCTCATCAACTCCATTCCAGATGAATCTCCAGAGAAGACAGCCTGGAGACAAGAGGCCCATGTGGAAAACCTTTGCACACAGGCATGTGTTTCTCTCCCATGCACTGAACTGACTGGACCGGCTCCAAGAGGCTGGCCAGGCTGTCCTGGCGGCACCCTGCCCTCTGCTGCTGATCCCTACCTGTTTCTCATGGTGGTACAGCGATGCCAGCGTGTAGGGCAGGATCTGGAGGGCAGAGAAGGTGAAGCCTGTCAGAGCAGCCGAGATGGTGACCACGGTGATGCTCTGTGAGAGGCACATGACGGCGGCAGCGCCGGGGAAGAGCACCACGCTGCTCAGGTACACGGCGCGCGCCCCGAAGCGCGTCACCATCCGGTCCATGATTGTCGAGAAGAAGATGGATGTGATGCACTGCAGGAAGAGGCCCAAGCTGCCCATGCGGACCCCTGCAGGGAAGCGGAGGTGGTGAGAGTGCCCCCAGGCTTCACCAGCGCATCCCTGCCTTGCAGCAGCCACGCTGCAGCTCCCACCCTCCACCAGCAGCAAGGATTTCCCACACATGCTCCCGGGCACCCCAGTCGAACCAGAGGGGCAATGGGACATAGGAATCCAAACGGCGTCCTTGTCTTTGGAAGCTGTTTGCACCTTCCTACTCTTAAGCCAGCATCTGTCACCTGCCCATGAACCAGGATCTGTTGTTATCTGATGCCAAAACCAGCAACAGAATGAAAGGAACAAGCAGTTGTGCTTAAGCCAAGGTAAAGTATACAACATGCACTGAATGAGTGCAGCATCCGGTAGCAATCCGGACCTTACCCTTTGCAAAGCTCTATCAGATTTCAGGGAATTAAAACCATTAACTCTTTGGAGCAAGGATCATTACTCAACATATGTTCCTGTGACAGCCAGCACAATGGAGCCCTGACCTGCTGGGAGCTGTACAGTGCAAGTGTTAAATAATAATTAAGCTCCCTCTAAGTTAAACAGACACTCAGCACAAAGAGGCAGTGTACTGCAGAGCTCACAGAGGCAGCGAGTGGAAAAACCAGAGGGCAAGATGTACAGCTGGAGGAGGAAGAGGGCCAGGAAGGTGCCTCCAAGAATAAAAGACTTAGATCAGGGAGAGGAGAAGGGCCAGGAGCCAGTCAAGGCTCTGGCAGCACACAGCAGCCAACACGGGACAGCAGGCAACAGGAGCAGGCAGGTAACGTGCTGCAGTGAGTATCCCATGATGTGGACGTGGCAGCTACAGGCTCCAGTGGTGAGCGCTATCAGAAAGCACTGGAGAAAGGGGTGAGAACTGGGGAAGCTGCCTGAGGGCTCCCCAAAGAGCGACGTGAGATGGGAATCTCACAGCAGAACTTCTGCAAGGTTGTTGTGCATTACCAGCAGAGCTGAGCCCATCCCAGCTCCCACTGACCGCTCCTGTCCCAGGGAACCGATGCTGCAGCCTCAGAGCAGCTGCTTCACTTCTCACCTTCATCGTAGTGGCGCCTGGCATCCGTGCCTGGCTTGGCCCTGGGGACACCGTGGTACAGCCCTTCCCCAACAAAGTCTGTGTAGAACAGCATGAAAGTCATGAGTGCCATCCAGCTGCAGAGCTCGGCCACGAACAGGCGCCGGATGACCTTGGGGATGCGGCAGTAGAGGCTGTGAAGCCGCGGCACCAGCGTGCAGAGGTTCCTCAGCGCCTGCATCGTGTGCCTGGCCTGCAGGAGACACGAGCTCCTGGAGACGTGGCAAGAGCAGCAGGCAGGGGGTGAGGGCTTAGGGGGAGCATCCTTCAGTGCCGGGCCATCCAGAGCATCTGCCTGGGTGGCTGCCTCCTCTGTCACAAAGAGCGTGGCCAGCACACAGCCGAGGAAGATGATGGCAAGGAGGGTGAAGAGGCAGGTCTCCTGCCCTCCCAGGTACGGGGCCAGAAAGCTGCCACCCCAGTCTATGGCTGGAAGCAGGTAGCCAATGCAGCCCCCCAGGCTGATCATGAAGGCATACATGGAGAAGGCCTGGCGGCAGTTGTCTGGCTCCTGGAAGAGGTCTGAGAGCAGAGCCTCCAGGGGGGTGAAGCAGACCTGGCCGCAGAAGTCCAGTAAGCCGATGCCCAGGATGAGGAAGGCAATCTCCAGGGGACGAGGGTTGAGGGCAAACAGGCTGGCCAGGCTGCTGGCGTGTGGGATAACGAAGAGGCTGAGCAGGACTCCCAGGCAGAGCATCCAGATGAAAGGTCTCCTCCGGCCGTAGCTGCTGTGCCAGTGGTCACTGGCGGATCCTATCAGCGGGACAAAAACCAAGCCAAGGACAGGTCCTATCCCTGGAAAAGAAGAGGTGATGTTAACGTCTGGAGCACACTGCTCTGTTTGCACCGCAGAGAAATAGCCCAGGCGTTCCAGGAACTCAGCATGCTTCACTGGGACACAGCCCCCTCCTCCAGAAACAGGCTGCCCTCTGCTGTGCCCTCAGAGACAAGCCCTCATGCCTTTATTTGCCCTCCAGACCCAAAGGGAAAACAAGCACATCAAAGGTGAGAGAAAAGCTGCCTACCCAAAACCATGGTCATGAACTTCTCCTCCACTCCCACTTCCAGCAGCAGCGGAGGCACGTAGGTTATCCCTGCAGCCAGGCAGACCTCCAGGCCGAACGTCAGGGAGTTCACCAGCAGAAGCTGGGTCTTGCTGCTGTGGAAGAGCATGCTGAACCCGGCTGCCTGCCCCGAGCCGGCCCCGGCTGCCTGCCCCGAGCCGGCCCACAGCCCTAGTGCCAGCGAGCTGCTGTGCTCCGGCTGCGGCACAGCCAGGGATGCCCCACAGGCCAGGTCTGGAGCTTCCCTGCCTGCTCTGCTGCACGGATGCTGCCCCCCATCTTTAGCAAGGGGGAGTGAAGTGTCTTTTCCTCTTCCTCTTTGTGCAAGATGCGGCCCCAGCGATGCTGAGTCCAGGCGTGGGCAGGCACGGATCCCACTCCAGGCTTCCCCTTCTGCTCACATGCTGTGGTCTGTAAGGAGAGAGAGCTTGTTAGACACAGCGGGGTCCAGGGCAGGGGAAAGCGCTAAACCCAGGCACCGCAGAGACACGTCATGGCTGAAAGGGGCAGTCACCCAGGAGGGTGATGAGAGGACATCTGTGAGAGCAGCAGGATTGAGACACAACCACATCGGTGCTGGGCTCCTCTCCAAGGGCTTGTGACAAGTGTCAGCCATGGTTTGGGGAAATGCAACTCTGCCTTTGGGCTAAGGGAGGGCTGATGTCCAGCCTCATCTCAGAGAGGGGCAGCTGGAGCAGACAAACAAAGGACTTAGGGTCCCCTCTCCCAGTGAAATCAATTAGAAGCCCCTTCAAGGCTCAGGGCTGCAGTCACACAGGGTCATCCCCGGGGACCCACCCCACTGCCTAATGACAGGGCATCACCCGCACTGCTCCGCGGGCTCCCAGGGGAGCAGTTTCACCCAAACCCCATCTCCAGCCCGAGACAGGGCACAGGGAACAGATGGTGCCTCCATGGAGTTTCACAAACAAACCTGACCCACTTTAGCCTCATCTAACAGTGAACAGCAATTACCTTACTCATTAGGCTGAGTCATTTACTTGCCCTGTAACATGCTCCTTCTTTCCAGCCTTCTGCAGAGGGGAGAGGCCACCAGAGCAGGGCAGGGGCTAGGCAGCCTTAGCAAGAGTAAGCAGATGCCTCTTTGTAACCTGCTAGGACCCTGCCATGATGTCAGCCCCAGCAGCTAGTCCACCCAAGGGCTGTCTTGCTAAAAGCACCTACTGGTGTGTGGCTATGCCAGGGAAGGGAGGGTGGGTTAGCAAGACATGAAGCTCCTTCACAGCCACTGATTCAACAGTAAACCAAACTGCTGCCTAGTTCCCAGGATTCACGATCCCACTTTGCACAGAAGCTTCAGCCTCCTGTGCCTCCCCGGTGCTTTGCGTCGAGGAGGCTGAACGCAGATGGAAAAGAGGTGAGAATCCAGTTGTGCAGCCTGGTGCCCCTCCAAGTTCTTTGCTTTCATTACAGGGGAGAGGAATGGGAACAGGGAACATCCCCAGCACTCCCCTTCCTCCTCAGCAGTGGCTGAACCAGCGGTGCTGGACCACAGCCGTGCCACAGCTACACTGGGCAGAGAGAAAACCCCATGTGAACACCAAACGCGGTGCCAGTGAGCGTTCCCTAACCTCACAGGTGCATTTGATGCCATCACGGCACAAGTGAGCAGACAGGTACAGCTGGGACAGCTTCTGCAGTCTTTTCCTTCCCCTCTTCAAATAAGCCCCATGGAGATGAGTGGGTGAGGATGTGTGGTGATGAGGTTCCCACAGAGGTGCAAGCATCACTCCCTGCCTCTTGCTGCTGCAGAGGGGAGGCACCTCCTGAGCTCAGGAGCTGATGGGCTGCCAATGACACGCAAAAAGGACTGATGATTTTCCTTCCTATCTCTCAGGTAGCCCCCTCCCAACAGCTTAGACCCCAACTGGCACAACAGATACCTCCTTTTAACAAGCGTGAGCATTCAAGTGACTTGCCCAAGGTCAAACAGCAAGGGAAGGCAGGTGGGAACAGAACAGCTTTCCTTTCATCACCAGACATGGCTTCAAAGGCGTGCTTGGAGGCCCCAGACATGCTCAGCCTTACTTCAGATGCGCTCTATCTGCAAGGGCTGGGGACAGCAAACACCGTCCTCAGATGTGGGCCACACACAGGATGCTCAGCCCTGTTCACGGGTGATGGGTCCCCAGCCGGCTGACAGCCCTGGGATGGAAATTCAAGCTCCAGCAGCACAAGCCTTGGTGCTGTTGGCTAAAGGGAGCAGACTCCCAAGCCAGAATGAACCGAGTCACCATCGCTCTAAGATAGACCTGCGAGGGAGGTGTAATGTCCACTGACTGCTGCAGCCCAGGCTTGAGGGGGCTTATCCCTCCTTATCCCAAGGTAAACTCCAAACACTCAATAGATGTCTTACACACACAGAGAGGATTTCTTATCAGTAGGGAAGACAAGACCTGTCTCTTCCGCCTCCACACCCTCACAGGGCTTTAAGGACCAAAGAAATCCCTATGATCCAGAAGCAATACTCACGCACAGTCAGAGAGGAGAAGCTGCCACCAGCAACCAAACTGCAGCTCCAGGTGAGCCCTTTCCTGTTTAAACTGCATTTGGTGCCAATCGCCATCAACGCCTCGCTTTTCACTTTGTTCCCAGCACGCAGGAGATGCATTGGCTCGGCTGGGCAGAAACACCAGGGCAGGCCAGGGAGGACGGGGGCAGAGGGATGGGAGGGGAAGGCTCGGGAGGCGCTGCAGGGAGGAAGGCAGAGGCCGGGACTCACCTCCTGCAGGCAGCGCGGTCAGAGGTGGTCCCCGGCTCGCCGAGCTGCTCCCCCGGGTCCCGCAGCTGAAGCGGCCGGGCGCAGAGCTGGAAGCCGCGGCAGGTACACGCAGGGTTTGGTTCCAGGGCCCTCCCTGCCGGGGTGTGAGCAGCACCGCGGCCCCGCCTGCACTGGGCAAACACAGGCACCAGCGCGGCGATGTCGCTGCGCCGGAGCGCGGCCCCGGCAGCAGCTCGCGGAGGGGCTGGGGCTGCACGGGCCGGGGTAGGGCACGGACCGGGGCTTGCTGGTTAAAGATGGGACGTTCCCTGCAGCTTTGCCTCTAAGAGCCCCAGCAGCCAGCCCAAAGACTTCGTTTAAACCCCCCCTCTCTTCCAAGAGTCCTCTGGCAGGCTCTGGGCTGGTTTGGTTCTGGAGCTCTATGAGCTTTGGATGTGGAAGGAGTCAGTCACCGCGTCCCAGGGAGTTCCTGGTCTAACAGCAGCATTTACACCTCACACACAAGGGAGCTGCCCACAGCCCGGTGGGATTTGGCATCTTGTGATGGGGAGGCCCTTTCACAGTCAGACAGGTCCAAAAGCTGCAGGACAAGAACTTCCCCCGGCCTCAGTTTCCCCCAGCTTCTACACTAGGGACAACACAGAGCACAGTGCCAAGCCCCTTGCCTCGGATCCTCCCCCAAAGGGACACAGAGCCCTCCTGTGAAGGGCTCCTGCACACAGAGCAGAAGGGAGCCACATGGGGGGCTCCTTCACAGCTGCTCCCCGAGCTGTCGTGCCACAGGGACATCGCCTGCTGCTGAGCTGATGATGCCTTCCCCTGCTCTTCCTCTCTCCGTCCCCGAGGGAAGGTAAAGCATCTTTAAACACCTCGGTTTGAAACGTGAAAACCAACCTTTTCCTGCCCTTCCTCTGCAGAGAAACAACAGATCAACGCCGAGAGGCTGGTTCAGCTGGCAGCAGGTAGGAGGCGGGTCCTGGGGCAGGAGCAAAGCAGCAGGATGCGGACAAAGGCAGAGAGAGGAGACCAGAGGAGAGGGCTCTGCTCCCCACCTGCACACAGGAGCCTCTCCAGCAAGGGCAGCCACAGCAGAAAGCCCCGCACCTCCTGCAGCCCCGGCACGTCCCGCTCCTCCGCTCTCGCCCACTGCGGCAGCCGGGAGGGCAGGAGGAAGCAGGCAGCGTGCCCCTGCAGAGCACAGCTCACCCCGCAGCGCTGGCAGGGAGCAAGAAGGGGTGAAACCAGGGACAGGCGCTTCCCAGAGCCCGTTCCTCAAAAGGCAGAGCAGCACCAGGCCGGAGTCACGCGTTTCCCCTGCTCGCATGCTGCAGAGGCCGCTGTGGCAAACATCTCCCTGCAGGGCCGGGGCGCAGCGGGCTCCACATGAGGAACCCCAGGATGTGCACATGAGAAGAGCAGCAGCGAGGGCACAGCCACGCACTGGAGCCAGCACGGAGCGTCCTGGAGGTGTGAGCGGGACGGACTCGCTCACACAGCAGCACCGGCACAAGCTCACCTCCCGTTTCCCTCCCGCCGGTGCAGACGTGGCTCTGAGCACCCCCGTGAGCAGACCCTGGGGCTCATCTTTCACTTCCAGAAGAAACCAACGCGGAATCCCTGCAGAAAGAGGACTATGTGCACTGATGGATGTGCACAAGCATGGCTGGAAGCAGTCTCGCCTCCTCCCTCCCATCTTTCCAATGGATCTTACAAGTAACCACCTCCAGACAGTGCTTAGACTGAAGACTGAGGGATGTGGCAGAGAAAACCTCATTTGTTCCTCAGAGGAATCCATATCCTGATACTCCATAATCCTTCCAGTCTCTCACGTGGATGCAGAAGGGACAGGAGGTGTTATAAATGTGGTAGCAGCCCCTCTGATGTATGACAGTTGTGCACCTACCCCATGGTTCAAACAGCCACAGTAATGATCACACAGCAGAGGACTGGATTCATCAGCTATCTGTGACCTGTCAGGGCTCTGCAATAACCTGAGCCCTGTCTTACGAGGAAGAAATGACCCCACAAAAGCCTTTTCCTTAGCAAAAAAAGGAAAAGCCTTGGCTTTTTGAAGGAGCTGGTCCTGGGCAGTGCAGGAGATGGTGGGGATGTGGAGGGCTCCTGCCCAGCGCTTCCCAGGTGATACAGACCCACGTCACCACAGGCTGGGTGCAGAAGCCTATTCCCCCTCTGGCAGCAGAGGGAAGGGAGGGCCAAGGGTATTGCCAGCCTTTGGCTTTCCATTCATAACCACAACAGTCCGTTTCCAACCTTGCAAGGGGCTCTTTCTGAGTGTTATTAATCCCCTGCTCCCTGGAAGCCCTTTGGAAGAAAGGGTAGGAGAGAGCACAAGAGCAAGCGCTTAGGGAAGGGCTGTTCATCCAGTGCCAGATCCTTTCACAGCTATCAGTGCCCATTCACTGCAGCTGAATGGGAAATACACCATGGAGAATAGCTCTGGCAGGCCCGGCGGGATGAAATGGAGCCCTCACCTGACCTCTCCTGACCCTCTCCCCTTCCCCCTCCCTTCCCAAATCTCCTTGACCCCATTCCCAGTGTGGGGAGAGGGGAGTGCTCATTAAGCAGGGGTGGGAGAAGGGCGCTTGAGTCCCTCTGAATTAACTCCGCACTTCCTTTGAGCTCCATTCTACGAGCTCGGCTTAGGGGAAGAACAGCAGCAGCGGGTGGAAATGCCCTGGATGGGAACAAGGAAGACCCAGTCTGGTTCAAAGGGATGCAGTTGACTTGGGCAGGACCAGGGGTGGGTTCTTTCCTGCCACGCTGCAATGTTTCACTGCAGCACCTTCAATGCCACCATCAGCCTTGGAGGCTGAGCAGTCACCACCATGAGCAGGGCTCGTTCCCAAGCCCAGGAGAGCTGGTTCCCATCTGCACAAGCTTTGGGAAGCATTAGTTCCAGGTTCCTTCAGCTAAAGGTGTGGCTGTGAGGGCAAGAGGCTGTTGAGAGTTTTCTGTGGTTTTTGGCTGCCTTAGCTCTGGTGTCAGCCTGATGGACCAGCAGCAAAGAGGGGGCAGCTCTAGCCCCTGCTCCTCACCTTGGGGGCACAAACAGGAATCTGTCTCTTTGCTGCCAAGGGGAATGGCTTTAACCTGCCCGAGGGGAGGCTGAGATGAGCTCTTAGGCAGAAGCTCTTCCCTGTGAGGGTGCTGAGGCGCTGGCACAGGGTGCCCAGAGAAGCTGTGGCTGCCCCATCCCTGGCAGTGCTCAAGGCCAGGTGGGACACAGGGGCTTGGAGCAAGCTGCTCCAGTGGAAGGGGTCCCTGCCCGTGGCAGGGGTTGGAGCTGGAGGAGCTTTAAGGTCCCTTCAACCCAACCCATTCCCCAAGTCTCTGAACGGGGCTGCTCGTGCCTGCCACACAAAGGGGCGGTCTCGCAGTGTTTCACCTCCTCAGGACTGGCACAAGATCCCCAAAGCAAACAGAAGCCTCACGCACTCCCAGCCACACACAACGCAACCAAGGCAGCAGCACTTGCAGCTTCTGCTCTCAAGGGCCTCACTTCTGGTCACCCTTTCCCGTGCCAGCATCAGGTCTGCTACAACCAGCTCTGGACAGGCTTGGCTGCCTCTCCAGCAGAGCTCTGCTTGGCTCCTG